GTGAGATGTGCTTGAAGAAAAAAGTTCGGTTTGATATATCAGTGCAGGAACAACTCAGGCAGGCTTGAAGCCTAGAACACCAGTGGACATGCTATCTGGAAACTGACCTTCAATTCATTCTTATGCCAAGGCCTCAGGAAAATACTGGAGTTGTTAGCAGGTATTTGCAACTGTAAAGGATGTGATTTCACTGATTGTGTTCTTCAGAGCAGCTTGGAGTGGCCAGGAGTATAAATGCTTTCCCCTGCCACACCTCCAAATGTCAAGAAGAACTTTATATAAATACTTGGTTGGATCCCCACTGCAATCAGGCAGTATCTTCAGCAGTAAAGCACCTTCATGGTGAATTTCTCCAGAAAACATGGAGGGCAGATGGCAGCATGCTGATATATTCAAAATGCTGAGGGACACCCCCCCACCACACACAAAGAAATCCTCTGAGAATTCTGTATCTGGCAAAACTGTCCTTCAAAAATAAGGAAGAAATCAAAACATTCCCAGATAAACAAAAGCCGAGAGAGTTATCACTAGATCTGCCCTGCAAGAAATGCTAAAGGGAGTCCCTTAAGTTTAAAATGAAAGTAAACTAGATAGTAACTCAAAGCTATATGGAGAAATAAAGATCTCTGGGAAAGGTAAGTACATGGTTAATCATTAGAGCATTATTTTTCCATTCGACAATTAAAGCAATGTTCTAGGTCTTGAGGATACAATGAACAATTGTTCATTGGGCACTCATGGTAGTGGCTTGAAATTGGCCAGGGAGCAATTTCTCTACAACATGGAAATAGGCAAACCCTACAAATCAGGGCTTTTTTTTTCTCAGAGTGCCAACTTACCAGCATACGACTGAGGGAGATAGACTTTATACTGAATTTTAATTAATAATTTTGATTGTAACCACTTTTTAATTTTTTCTATGATTTAAAAGAAAAAACCAGTCTGGCCAGTTAGCTCGATTGGTTAGAGCACAGTCTTATAACACCAAGGTCACAGGTTCAATTCCGGCCAGCCACGAAAAAAAAGAGACTATTTTTTTTTTTTTCTTAAAAGATGACCGGTAAGGGGATCTTAACCCTTGACTTGGTGTTGTCAGCACCACGCTCAGCCAGTGAGCGAACCGGCCATCCCTATGTGGGATCCGAACCCGGGGCCTTGGTGTTATCAGCACCGCACTCTACCGAGTGAGCCACGGGCCGGCCCCAAAAAAGAGACTCTCTAAAAGACAAATCCATACCCCTTAACACTCATTAAGAGGGCTATTAAAAAAAATAATAAAAAAACTGAAAATAACAGTAATGGAGAGGATGGTAAGGATGTAGAGAAACTGGAACCCTGTCATTTCTGGTGCGATGTAAAATGGCAGCCTCTGTGGAAAATGGTATAGTTATTCCTCAAAAAGTTAAACACAGAATTACCACATGATCCAGGAATTCCTCTTCTGGGTATATATCCCCCCCAAAAGTGGCATCGGTGACTCAAGATATTTGTATATCCATGTTCATAGCATTATTCACATTAGCCAAAAAGTGAAAGCAACTCGAGTGGCCATTGACAGATGAACGAATAAATAAGATGTGGTATATACATGCAGTGAAATATTCAGCTTTAAAAGAAGAAAATTTTGACGATACGGCATAGATAAACCTTGAAGATATTTTGCTAGGTGAAATAACCTAGTCACAAAAGGATAAGTATTATATGATCACTCGTATCATGCCTTACTCAGGTTTCTAGAGTAGTCAAATCCAGAGACAGGAAGTAGAATGTTGATTGCCAGGGGCTGTGGAAGGGGGAATGAGGAGTAAGTGCTTAATGGATACAGTTTATAAGAAATTGGTTACAAGAGAAAAAGAAGGACATTATATATTAATAAAGGGTTTGATACAGCAAGAGGGTTAAACACACCTAATTATAGACCTCAGAATACATAAAACAAAAATTGACGGAATTGAAGAGAGAAATAGAGTTTTACAATAATAGTTGGAGACTATCACCCTAGTTTTAGTAAAGGATAGGTCAATTAGAGAATGAGAAAATAAAGATTTGAACAACACAATAAACCAACCACATTAACAGACATGTATAGAACACTCCATCCAACAATAGCAGACTACCTATTTTCAAACGCACATGGAACATTCTCTCAGAGGGACCAAATGTTAGGCCACAAAACAAGTCTTAATAGATTTTAAAAGATAGATAATATACAACATTTCTTTCCCAACCACAAGAGGGTGAAGGTAGAAATCAATAACAGAAGGAAAAGAAATAAAAGGCATCTAAGTTGGAAAGGAAGAGGTAACACTATATCCTCAGATGACACGCTCCTATATATAGAAAATCTCAAGGAATCCAAAAGAGAACTAGTAGAGCTAGTAAACTAATTCACCAAAGTTGCTGGGCACAAGATCGAAATAGAAAAATCAGTTGTGTTTCTATACACCACCAATGAATAGTCCAAAAAGCAAATTAAGAAAGCAGTTCTATTTACAATAGCATCTACAAGAATTAAATACTTAAGAATAAATCTAACCAAGCTGGGGAAGATTTGTATGCTGAAACTACAAAACACTGCTGAAAAGTTAAGGTAAACCTAAATAAATGAAAAGATATCTTGAATTCATGGATAGAAAAGAAGAATTAGGGCCGGCCCGTGGCTCACTCGGGAGAGTGCGGTGCTGATGACGCCAAGGCCACGGGTTTGGATCCTATATAGGGATGGCTGGTTGGCTCAACAGCTGAGGGTGATGCTGACAACACCAAGCCAAGGGTTGAGATCCCCTTACCGGTCATCTTTATTTAAAAAAAAAAAAAGAATTAACATTGTTAAAATGTCAATACTATATCAAATGATGTACAGATTCAGTGCAATCCCTATCAAAATTCCAATAGCCTTTTTCACAGACATGGAAAAGCTCATTCTTAAAATCATATTGAATTGCAAGAGATCCCTCTGTCTTAGTCTGTTCCTGCGGCTATATCAAAATAGCTTAGACTAGGTAATTTATAAAGAATAGAAATTTATTGCCCACAGTTCTGGAGGCTGGGAGATCCAAGATCAGGGTGCCAGCAGATTCAGTCTCTGATGAGAGCCTGTTCCTCATAGATGACACCTTTTTGCTGTGTCCTCACATGGCAAAAGGGGCTGGGGAGTCCCTTTAAACTCTTTTATAAGAGCACTAATTCCATGCACGATGGTGGAGCCCTCATGACTTAATGCCTTCCCCAAAGGCCCCACCTCTTAATACCACCAGAATAGGGATTAGGTTTCAACATGAATATTGGAGGGACACAATCAGACAACAGCATTCTGCCCCTGTTATCCTAGAATTCATGTTTATCCCACATGTAAAATGCACTCCACTTCATTCCAACAGCCCTGTAAATTTTTTTTTCCAGTGGGCCAATACAGTTTTCGAACCCTGGACCTTGGTGTTATCAGAACCATGCTCTGACCAGCTGAGCTATATGGCCAGCCTGCCCATAAATCTAAACTTGCTCCAACCTCAAAATTTAAAGTCCAGAGTCCCATCTAAACAGATATGGGTGAGACTCAAAAGTGTGATTTATCCTGAGAGAAATTCCTGTCCAGCTATAAGCCTATGTAATCAAACAAGTTATGTGCTTCCAAATACAATGCTGGGACAAGGACAGGATAGACACTCCTATTCCAAAAGGGAGAAATAGGAAAGAAGAAAGGGTAACAGGTCCCAAGAAAGTCCAAAACCTAACAGGGCAAACAACAGTAAATCTTAAGGCTGGGGGTTGGCTGTTTAGCTCAGTTGGTTAAAGCATGGTGCTGATAACACCAAGGTCCAGGATTCGATCCCTGTGCCAGCCAGCCGCCCTGCCCCTCGCCAAAAAAACAAAAACAGAAACAAAAAACTAAAGGCTGAAGAATAATCTTCCTTGATTCCATGTTCCGGCTTCCAGACACAATGGGGTGGGGGTTGGGTCCCCAAGGCTCCAGGAAACCCCACCTTTACAGTTTTGTTAAGCAAGGCCCATAAAACAGCTCTCATGCTGCTTGGAGTTGGAGTCTCGTGCTTGTGGCTCTCCCAGGCTGGAGTTTTGGGGCTGGCCCTGTCCCCAAAGCTTCACTGGGCATTGCCCTAGTGGGGGCTCTCTGGGGCGGCCCCAATCCTGTGGTAGGATGCACTTGTATTCATTTCACACCTGGCCAATTGAGGCTGCCCTCGTCCCAAGCGTCTACATGAGAGTTTGTTTGTCAAGCCCTAAATCTTGGGTTAGAAGAAAACAAGTCACGTAAGTTTTTTGTTTGTTTGTTTGTTTTTAATTGAGTCGCTGTGGTTCTTTTATTCTCTTTTCCTGGCCTCTTAATTCATCAATTTATTGCCATAACTCTGTTTAAAATTTTAACTTCCTGGCATGCTGTGTTATGTTAGGTAAGCCATTTCCTCTCTCTGGACTTTAACTTTCTTCAACTGAAAAACTGGTTCAACGTTCATTCATTCATTTATTGAACAAATATTCCTTGGCACTTAAAGAAATTAGGCCCCAAGAGGTTCTAGACATTGGGCGGACATTAGAGGCACAAGGCTGAAGATGTCAAGGGCGTAATCTGTTCTTTGGGAGTGTGGAAACTAGGAAAGGGAGGCCGAGGCATGCACAGGCGCAGTCCAGCGAGCCCGAGCGACCTTCCGTCCGCCTCGGTCCGCACCAGGGCGCCGCGAGGGAGCACCACAGAGACGCAGCGCCCTCCACAGTCCTAGAGCAGCCGGAGCTCGGAGGGCGGCAGTCTCAGCCTCCCGGGCGCGGAGGTCCGGCCGGCGCAGAGCGGGGGCGGGGGGGCCCGGCCCTGGGGCTGCTGGGGCTGGCGGGGCTGGCGGGGCCTGAAGCCTGGAGCCTGGGGCTTGTCCGGGTGGCTACCGGGCCCGAAGCGCTGTGTCAGGCCCTCCAGGGTCTGGAGCGCCCCTCCCCGACCCTGGGCAGTCCCTGGGCCCGGAGCGCGCTCCCCGTGTCTGGTGGCCCGGGCCATGGCGGTCGCGTCCCTGGAGAGACGGGCACTCCCCGGCCCTGTTCTCGAGCTGCTGCCGGGACTGCCCGCACCGGACCGGGCGCGCCCGGTGAGTGCGGGGCCGGCCCTGCCCTGGGCGCTAGGCCCTAATAAGAGGCGGAGAGGGGGGTGGTGCGGCGGCCGGCAAACTGGGGTGTAACCTAGAGTGGGGAACCTCGAGGGACAGGCAGGGGACAGACGTTCAGCGGCACAGGCATGAGCCCATTGCTGGGGCCGAGGTGTTCACCGCGCTGTAGGCGGCGACCGATGGCCAGAACGAGGCTGGTTTTCCTGAGGTGGTTGTTTTTGAGCTGGGTTTTAGGATGAACAGGAATTAGCAGGTGCAGGAGGGAAGAACTGGAAATGGAGGCAAGTGGAGCTGCAGGTGCAAGGGCTCAGATGTGGGGAGGGAAGAGTTTGGTTTCCCAACACAATGGCGAGAGGATAGGATATGAGGGTGGTAGTGGCAGATGATCCTGATTGTCTCAGGTGGGCAGGGAGGCTGCATTTCTGAGTAGAGAATGAGATTGTCTGCAGTGCAGAGGAATTTGGACTTTGTTAGGTAGGCAAAGGTGAGCTAGCCAAAGACTTTGAGCCATGGAGTGCTGGTGCCGGGTAGATTGCTGTAAGGAATTTGTAGGGCAAGGACCGCCGAGAATTGGACCAGAATCGCTCCTCCTTAGTAGGGAACCAGAGATCCTGAAATGAGGCAGTGGCTGGGAACTACAGGAAGTCTTGATGGCTGTAGGTTAGCACTATTTGTGTTTCTTAAGAAAGAGGGTGAGAGAGAAGGAAAGATGATGCAGGAGCAGAGGCTCCTAGAGAACTAGAAAAAGGGGACATTGAGATTGGGATGTGGGGAATAGAGCAGGGTGGGATGTTTTAGAGAGTGCGTGAAGGGTGAGGGAGTGCAGGGAGTCAAGTCATTGTTAGGTTCTGTCCTCTTGAGTACAGTCTCCAGAGCAGCCTGAGTGTTCTGAGGAGTCCTTAGCTGCCTTTTGGCTGGTGGCAGTGACTGAGAGGGAGAAGAGGAAGGGTCCTACACATTGGCAGCAGAGGATAGCAGGCAGTGTGGCACAGTAGGTAAGAGCCTGAGAGTCAAACAGGCCTGGGTTCTGTCTCAGTTCTGCAACTTTGGGGGAAGTTAATCTCTCTCAGCTTATAAAATAGATCTAATACCTTCCTTGTAGGCTGTGAGGCATAAACAAAGTAATATATGTAAAGTGCTTGGCACAGGCTCAATAAATAATAGTTGTTATCAAGGTCTGGTGACACATTGTGGAGAAAGGATGGGACCTAGAGTACAGATGATGGTTTGGGGTATAGGGATGAAAAGAGAAAACTTTTGCAGAGATGCAAAAAAGATGAGAGGATGTTTGCTGAAATAAAGATGAAGAGATGTGAGAAAACTGATGGCTGATTCCTTGTATCTTTGTAAGTAGGAGGCATAACTCTTCTGCTGAGAATTCCCTTAGACATTCAGAATTCCAGAAACCCAGCAGGCATCCCTGCCGGTACCTCTTGGTGCCCTTTCTGCCCCTTCTCCAGGACTAGGTACCAGGAATGTCCTAGGGCATTTAAACAAATGTTGTTTCAGGAGTCAGTGACCTTTGAGGATGTGGCCATCTACTTCTCTGAGAATGAATGGACCGGCCTGGCCTCTGCTCAGAGGATCATGTACAGGGACGTGATGCTGGAGAATTATGAGGCTGTGGCTTCCCTGGGTAAGGGTCTCTTCCTTTGGGCTCTGCCTGCACCCTTCAATTTCCTGGCTCCTTCTTTCTCAAAGGCATAGGAGTCTTTGATGATCCTCAGCTCAGTGGCAGCTTCAGGCTCTTGGATTCTTAGTGACCCAGCCTCACTGGTTGCTGGGAAGTGGGAAGTCCTGGTATCAATTTGCGCCTCACACAGGTCATCTTTGCCTCAGAGTGAGAGCTGCCCAGCCCCTCACCCCCATGCTGTGGGAATAGTAGGAAGACAGCAGGTCCCCGGTGCCCCACTTAGCCTTCAGTTCCCCACTCCCTCAGTTTGGGAGATCTGGCCCAGTACTGAGCATCCTCATGCAGATTTCTGAACTTGGAAGCTCTGGGAGGGAGGGGACAAGAAAGTCTAATTCCCTAATAAATGAAATCATCCATTTTCTGACTGTAATTAGGCACCTCTTATGTACTCTGTCAGCTTTCTGACCTTTGTAAACCTCCTGGCCCCTCTCCCCAGGTCTCCTGCCCTTTACCCTCAACTTCTTTTTCTTCTTCTCACTAGTTATTTCCCTTCTTTCCCCTCCTGCCCCTGAAGACACAGGCCTGGGAGGAGTCTTGGGATTGCTCTGTATCACCCCACTCACCTGCCTGTCCCATTTCCCTCCCCTCAAGCAGCATTTCCATTTCCCAAACCGGCTCTGATTTCCCAGCTGGAGCGAGGGGAAGCACCCCCTCTCCCCAGGTCTCCTGCCCTTTACCCTCAACTTCTTTTTGTTCTTCTCACTAGTTATTTCCCTTCTTTCCCCTCCTGCCCCTGAAGACACAGGCCTGGGAGGAGTCTTGGGATTGCTCTGTATCACCCCACTCACCTGCCTGTCCCATTTCCCTCCCCTCAAGCAGCATTTCCATTTCGCAAACCGGCTCTGATTTCCCAGCTGGAGCGAGGGGGAGCACCCTGGTGCTCAGCTCCTCGGGGAGCTCCGGATGGAGAGGGCCTGAGGGGCCCCTCAGGTGAGTGAGGACACATGTGCCAGTCATCTGACCAGTTCGCTTGTCTTGATCTTTAAAATGTAATAAGTATGTAGACACTAGTGGGATTCCCTTTTTCCTCTGTGTTCCCATGGTTTTTTGTCTTCTTGAGTCCTTGTTTTATTCTTTCTGGCACCTCTTTGTGCCATCTTCATTCACCTGTGTTGCCTTTCCCCATCTCTGCTATTCTTATTATGGCCACCATTTAGCTTTACTACCTGAATTTTTTGTTTACTCTCTGATCTGAGGTGGGCTTTCTCCTTTCCTGGCCTGCTTATAGTCTTCCAGGTTCTGACTGCATTTTGGGATATAGAGACCATCTAGAAATCAAGAAATCTCAATAACCCTCAGGAAAATATTTCCTACTCCTCAAGGATTGATGATGGGGAAAGCCCTGGGATTACTTTAGGTCCATCACAGGGCTTTCTTGCTCTCAGTTTTCTGGTGAGAACTTTGTCTCCCTGTTGCCTCCCTGACCTCATTTCATCTTCTTCCCACAGGGCTCTTCTGCGGGCACAGTGAGACTTGAGTTGTGCCCTTACCTCTCCATTCTCACAGTTCCTTGCTGTGTCTGGCAGTCCTTCCATATTAGGATACTCTTGATTGCAAGTATTAAAACCCAGTTCAAACTTGATTAAATAATAAAAAGGAATTTATTATTTTATGTAGCTGGGAAGTCCATAGGTAGAGTGGGCTGCAAGCACACTTTGATCAGAATGTTAGTCTCTGCTCTGTCTCCTTGTATGTTGGCTTTGTCTACAATCTGGCTTCTCTCATGGTTGTAAGGTAGTTGTGATCAGGACTCTGCTTCTTCATACTTAGGGAAAGAAATAGGGCAGGACGTCCTCAGGCTTTAACCATTGCAAATCAAAGTCCCAAATATTAGTCTAATGGACCACCTTAAATCATACACCAGCTCTAAGTCAATCACTTGGCCAGGGAAATACTGTGCACTGACTGACTTGGCCTGAATTGCTGATCCCTGAACCAATCTCCCATGTAGTGAATGGGATGGGATTAACCTGCTTGGCTTATACCTACCATCAGGGCCTACCATAGGAGCTGGAGTTGGGATCACCACTACCCACTGCCCCCCACAAAGGGCATGGCTACTCCACAATGGGGAGGGGTAGAATGGATGTAGGGAGAAAACCACAGTGTATTCCACATTCTCTTGTGATCTCAGGGCTTCCTCTCTTTGCCACCCAAGGGAATTCCCCATGTTTGCTTTGCTTTATGCAGAAAACCAACAGCCAAATTATTCCTTGAGCGAAACTAACTCCCTGACTAGCAACAGACTTCCTTAGAGTACATCTCTCCCTACTCAAAGTCCACTTTTGTCTTAGAAAAGATAATACTCAGGAGACACATAGTACCCAGCTTCAGCAATGTGGAAGGTCATCATTTTTTTTTTTTTTTAGCCTTTTTTGTGACTGGTTAAGGGGATCGCAACCCTTGGCTTGGTGTCGCCCGCACCGCGCTCAGCCAGTGAGCGCACTGGCCATCCCTATATAGGATCCGAACCCGCGGCGGGAGCGCTGCTGCACTCCCAGCGCTGCACTCTCCCGAGTGAGCCACGGGGTCGGCCTGGGAGGTCATCATTTGAAGGTGTAGAATTGATCCGTTTCTTAGGAAGCTTTGGATGGGAGTTAGACACATCTTAGCTAAGGCTGGAGTAAAGTTTATTATACTGGACCTTTGTGAATAGAGGTGTCGTGCAATAGGAAGTGACTTCTGGAAATTCCTGAGTGAGGCTGTGAGACTATTTCTTATGGATGCCACAGATAGACCCATCATTGATCCTTTATGGAATGAGAAGACAATATGTAAATGGATAGGAAAGAAGGAAACCAAGAGGTTATGGTTTCCCAGGATAGCCTGACTGAACAGAAAGTGCTCAAGAACAGCTCTTTGAAATTCCATCCTGTCCTGATTCTTTTCTATGTGAACTTGCATTCATTTCATAGGGACAGGTGCAGAAAAGGCTTTAGTCTTTCCTATTTCTTCTTGACATACTAAAATGAGTGATATGTTTTTGTGTCTTTGGGAACTGAGGGAATCGCAACTTCCCTATACACTTTATATTTTTATCCCACAAATTTCTGGTCATCTGTGTTACCAATTTTCCCGCCCACCTTCATTCTCCCCCTTACCACTTCTATCTCTGCTCCTTTCCTAATGGGCCCCACTTCTCCAATTGAGCCAGCCTTCTTTGTATCTTGACCCCGGCAGGAAATCTCTTTCTTAAGCCTGCTGGGATCTCCCATCTTGAGCAGGTGGAAGAGGCATTGAACCTGAAACTGCAAGGAGAGGGTCCAAGGCTAATTTGTTCTGGTAAGTGAGAAAGAAATGAGCATTTTTCTTCCAGTCACACATTTCCTCTGTCTTTTCTTTGTAAAATGTTAAAAATCCATTTTGCCATGAATGTTATAAATAAATGGCCCTCCAAAATCCCTAAGTCAAGAAATTAATCAAGAGGAAACTTAAACCCTAAACTTCCAGCTCCCATTAAGACAAACTTAATTACTTAAATTAGGATGGGTCTTGGGTCTTAGCACACTGAACAGATGGCCTACCCATCTCACTTCTATGGTAAACCAATGTTTTTAATGTAGATGCTGTATTTTAGTCATTGCATTAGTTGCTAGGGATTAAAAATCAAATAATATATGGCCACTATCCTGGACGGGCTCATGGTGTAATGGGACTTATGCATAAATGTATAATTACATAAAAATAATGATGCTGTAACAGAGGTGTGAGTAAGAGACAGTGGGAGCAAAGAGGAGGGAATCTTTGCCCAACTCTGTCTAAAGTAGTTTGGGGAAGCACTTTTCATGGTAGACCTGGTGATTGGTTTGAATAAGAAGGCCACACTTCCTTTTAGTGTTGAAAAGTATTAGGAAGGCCGTTCTTGCTGCTGCCTTCTGTGTGTGACAAGCTCAGTTTCCCCAGGTATACCACAAAGGATTCCCGATTTCTCAGCAGGTCCTTGGCCCTGAGTCCTGGCCTGTTCTTATATGTATATATATATATATATATATATATATATATATATATATAAATGTAATATATAATTTATATGTATACAAAAATGTATGTATATTATAATATATATTATATATATAGTGTTGCTGTTATTATTATTATTATTTTGATGTCTGTCAAGGTACAGGGAACTGAACTCTTGACCTTGGTATTACAAGGCTGCACTCTAACAAACTGAACTAGCTGGCCAGACCCTTCTCATGTTATAAACTGGACTCAGCTACTTAGAAGGAATTCTGACTTATTTCCCTTAGGTTCAATTTGGCTGTTTTCTGAGAGCTTACCCTGTGCTTGATCTGGTGCTGGAAATCACAGCCCTGAGGGATTTTGTCCAGTTTCTGTCTTTTGCTTTTGGTTGCTTTCTGTGTGTTAGCCCTATGCTTGCCATTTTCTGCTTGGACAGGGCCACTGAGACATGGATGGTACTTGGAGAGAAATGGACATATTAATATCACTTGATGACCTTAGTCACATTGTCATGGGTAATGATGACATTTGCAGCTCTGATTTCTTCTTTCAGAGAGTGTGCTGAAGAGTGAGAAAGAAGATTTTATTCTGAAGGAGGAAATTTTTGAGAAAGCACAGGACCTCATGGTGTTATCAAGTGGACCACAGTGGTGTGGCTCCTGGGAATTCTGGTGTGGAAAAACCTGTAAAGAGGAGAAAAGCAGGTTAGGGAGATGGCCTGGCTACCTCAGTGGGGGATGTGTGGAGAACACTACAAATGATATTATAGAAGTGACTGTCAAGGATGAGATGATCTCAGTAGAAGAGAGTTCAGAGAATACTGATGCCAATACCCACCTTGGTGTACATCAGAAAATTCTAAGTGAGCAGGTATTCTATATATGTGAAGAATGTGGCAAGTGTTTTGATCAAAATGAAGACTTTGATCAACATCAGAGAACTCATAATGGAGAAAAGGTCTATGGATGTAAGGAATGTGGGAAGGCTTTCAGTTTTAGATCACATTGCATTGCACATCAGAGAATTCACAGTGGGGTAAAACCCTATGAATGTCAAGAATGTGCTAAAGCCTTCGTTTGGAAGTCAAACCTGATTCGGCACCAGAGAATACATACTGGCGAGAAACCCTTTGAATGTAAAGAATGTGGGAAGGGCTTTAGTCAGAACACAAGCCTTACACAACATCAGCGTATCCACACTGGGGAGAAACCGTACACATGTAAAGAATGTGGAAAAAGCTTCACTCGAAACCCAGCCCTTCTTCGACATCAGAGAATCCACACTGGGGAGAAGCCTTATGAATGTAAGGACTGTGGGAAAGGCTTCATGTGGAACTCAGATCTTGCTCAGCACCAGAGGGTCCACACTGGGGAGAAGCCTCATGAATGTATTGACTGTGGGAAAAGCTTCATTTGCAAGGCACACCTTATCCGACATCAGAGAATCCATACTGGGGAAAGACCTTATAAATGTAATGACTGTGGGAAGGCCTTCAGTCAGAATTCTGTCTTGATTAAGCACCAGAGGTGCCATGCTAGAGAGAAACCCTATAACTATCAGACCTCTCACCTTCTTGAACATTAGGGAATGTGTAATGGTGATACTTGTTTATAATTCTTATGTTACAGGAACCCCAGAGACAAAATGAAATGACCTTCCACAATTTGTTACAAACAGAATTATCTTGTTGCTTCTGAACAGATACCATTACTCTAGCAAAACTGGTCTGCCTGTTCCACCATGTTCATGCTAGGCCCAATTTATTTGAGCACCTACTGTGTATCAGGTTCTGTGCTAACCACTTTACATACATTCTTTAATTTTCATAACAGTCCTATTAATGTAGGTAGTCTTCTCCCCAGTTTACAAATGAGAACTCTGAAAGAGATTATAAAATTCATTCAAGGTCACTCAGCTAGTAAGTTTTAGAGTTGAGATTGGAGCTGGGCCTACCTGACTCCAAACTCTACTGTTCTTTATTTAATTGTATGTATTTGTGCCTCTACCCATTTTTATCTGCTCATGTTTTACTGGGCTTTTAGTTTACCTTCATTATGTAAGACCCAGCTTCTTCAACTAAGCAGACCTCTCTTCCTCTTCTACTTGTAATCAGTACCATCTAAGTTAGTATTTATTTGCTGTCTTATATTTTTCTAATAATAGTTCTTAGTCTTGACTCCACCCGAATGGCTCTTTGAGGGCCAACATTGCATTTCTTTTATGTTTTTAAAGTTTTGAAACTTATTTATTTATTTATTGCTAGATATAACATGTTTATGATAAAAAAAAATCGAAATAGTAATAGTATTCAAAAGAGTATTAAGTGAAAAGTAAATTTCCTTGTCACTCCAGTTATCTTCCCCAGAGGCAATCACTGTTTCTTGTTGTATGTCTTTCTGGAGATATTTTTTCTCTATATACAAATATTTATTAATACCACTTTTCATAAGTCTACCTCACTGAAAACCTTACTTGATGTAGGTGACATTGCAGTTACATTGCCAACTCCAGGACCTTTCCTTCCTCAGAAGCTGTCCTACTTGAGATCACCAAGGTAACCTAGGGAGAGCAGCAGAAGGTAGCCAGGTTGTGTATTCTTGGGAGACCTGATTACCTTTGTGTTATGAGATAGCACTCTGGGATTAAGCAGATGTAAACCCATTTGGAGATTTTTTTTTTTTTTCATAAAAATCTGTACAGCTGCAGCTTTTCTCATCACACTGCTATCCTAAATCTTCTCCCATTCTGTCCCTACTCACCGCCATGTATCCCGAAATAAGCTGTGGGCCCATTACCAAGGGAGGGCAACTTTCTGGTGATGGCTAATGTTCTGTTAGGTAGCCTCATCCAGTCAACAGTTGAAAAGTTCACATATAACCCCATATCTTGGCATCAGAGTCACAAATGCCCTCTTTAGGTCTGAGATCAAAGGTAAATGTTAGGAACACATAGAACCTATGCAGGAAAGTAAGGAATTCCAAAATTAACTAACTCTACTTAAAATCAGGAGTTTATAAAATATTAATATTTTGAAAAGAGGATGCAAGCTGTTTGTACTAACTATGAAGACATGCAGGATATTAGTGGTACTAACCATCTTAAAGGTTTAGAAGACCAGCGGCCCTATCAGGGGAGAAGAATGCTGACCAAAACAGATTTGAAACATCCATTCCAGACTCTTCACCTTTAAAGCCACTTTTTTTCAGATAGTGCAGTTTGTTTTACTGCTATTTAGGTATCCCACTTTATAACTTCACAGCTGGTTAGTCTAATTGTTGACTAAGGAGCAAGGAAGAGAAGCCAAGGGACTGCTTGGACCAAAATTCTGCTTCCTGAAAATTACAAACATTAACAATTTCAGAGTCCTGATTGTCGAAAGCTAAGGTCATATAGTAAGGAAAACTTGGCCCAGCATAGTCCAGCTAAGGTAACATCTAATAACAGTAAAAAAATTTTGTTGTGTACCACATGGAACCAGGAAATGGAAATGACTGATGTGAACAGGTACTGGGGGAAGTTGTTTATTAAGTAAATTTTACTGAGTGCCTACTTGTGTGCAAAGCACTGTGCCAAATGCAGGGTAAACAATAAGACCTGCCCCCTGCCTTCCTGGAACATTTAGCCTAGTGCAAGAGACCAACCAAAAAAATTAAGTAAGCAAAATTATTAAAAATTGGTAAGTGCTATGAAGGAAATGAACACGGTACTGAGAAAGAGAATGATGGGGAGGGAGGCCTACTTTATGTAGATGGTCAGCAAAGGCCTATCTTAAGAGCTAACGTTAAAGTTAAGACAAAGTATGAGAAAGAGCCACTTGTATTAAGAACAGGAAAAACAGAGGGAACAGCTGTGCAGATTCCCGGATGTTACCATATGAGCAGAAGATATATAAAGCCATGGGAAGAAATGAATGTAATCCCCTAGAGTGTGAGAAGGAATGAATGAAATCCTCTAGAGTAGTCCTGTCTAATCCAGTAGCCACTGGTCACATGTGGCTGTTTAAATAAACTAAAAATTTAGGTCCTTCCTCACTGGACACAATTCAAGCATACAACACCCATATGTGGCAGTTAGCCACCTTATTGTATAGTGTGGATATAGAACATCATCGTTGTAGTTAGTTCTACTGGACAGCACTGCTCCAGAGACAGTGCAGCAATACGAGGATCCGGGAGGGAGCCCTGTAGAATATCAGTTCAGTATTTAGGGAGTTGGACAGGGAAGCACCAGCAAGGGATGCTAAGGAAGAACAGCCAGTGAGGTTGGCAGCATTACCAGTGGACACATTACATGGACAGCAGCTGAAACAGGGTTGAAGATCTGACCAGGGCTGTAAGGAGGTGGTCATTAAGACCCTAAATGTTCATAAGCTCCCAGAGTGAGGATGATGTGCGAGTATGCTGCATGTGGTCAGTATCTTAAAATGTGAGAGAGACAAAAAAAATAAGAGTAGGAGCCCATGGAATTGGAACCACAATAGAAGAAACAATTTAGACCTACAGAGGATCATCTCAGAAATTGATCAACCCTAGGAACTCTCACTCCAAGATGGACATGTTTGTAGGTAGGGTGGTAGTGTGGCAAGACTTTTAGAAGTAGCATGAGAATTGTCAAAATATGGCGAAAAGGGCGGGCCCGGTGGCGCACTGGATAGTGCGCCGCTTGGGAAGTGCGGTGGCGCTCCCGCTCGAGGGTTCGGATCCCACATACAGACCGGTTCCCGCTCACTGGCTGAGCGAGGTGCGGGAGCAACACCGAGGGTTGCGATCCCGTTGCCGGTCCCCGGTCTGGTACGGGGGCAACACTGAGGGTTGCGATCCATTGCCGGACACGGAAAAAGACAAAAAAGACAAAAAAAATATATATATATGGCGAAAGATAGATATTCCAGAAGGATTAGGAAATAGCATGTGGAAATGGATGGCCCCTACCAAGAGAGTTCTTAAGTATTCTTTTCCTTACCAGAGGTGCAGAGACAGGCACTTGGAAGTGCTGAGCCCATATCACAGACTCCATAGTCCGTGACGAGGGAACTGTAACATGGAAGACTTTCCAATTTGTAATGACACTTTCCAAACATCTAAAAGTAAGAAGAGGAATAAAATTAATGCACAGTTTCTAAATTTTGGAGAAATACAAAAGGTGGAAATTAAGATATTTTCTGATAAGATGCAATTAACAATATGTCAAAATCAAGAATTGATTATGGTAAAATTTTGTCTTCAAAATTTCAAAAAGTTGGGCTGGCCCGGTGGCACACTGGATAGTGCGCTGCTTGGGAAACGCGGCGGCGCTCCCGCCCGAGGGTTCGGATCCCACATACAGACCGGTTCCCGCTCACTGGCTGAGCGAGGCGCGGGAGCAACACCGAGGGTTGCAATCCCATTGCTGGTCCCGGTCCGGTACGGGGGCGACACTGAGGGTTGCGATCCGTTGCCGGACATGGAAAAAAAAAAAAAAAAAAAAAAAAAAAAAATTTCAAAAAGTAGGAAAAGCACATACAAAAATAGTGTGTAGGTAATATATTGAAAAGCAACTGGCCTACACAGAGTTTCTTAGGGTAATGAATAATTAAATCCCTGCTGTGTTACAGGCTGGAGCCAGCTACAGAGTTGACTGTTTTAGAAGCAACTCAGTCACAAATTAGTGCATGCAATTCTGAGCATCTGTGTGACTTTCAGTTAGGATTCTGTAATGGTCATCTCTTATTTGGTCCCCAGAATCCATTCCCCTTCTCTCTGGGAACAGTAAACCAAATATGCTTTGGGAATGTATCCTTTCTCAACTGCATGGTTTGGTTCCACCCCCAGCTTCATGAGTAGACCCTGTTAGTCTTGTGTCAATCAGCTTAATTTATCCTCTTGGCCACAGAACCAGTGTGAAATGAGGAGAAATTTACTGGGTCTTCTAGGAGAGAGTCTTCTCCTTTGAGAGTTACCAAGGGAGATATTCCCTGTCCTCCTCTGTATGGCATGTAGGAAAATACGAGGCCTGGAACTAGCAACTAATGTTTTTCCTATTAAAATGGGAAATTCTGGAGCTTCCAGGTGCTACTATGTGGAGCCTAAGGATGAAGCCAATACCAAAGAAGACAGTGGCAAAACAGAGAGAAACTAGGTCCTCGATGACATCATGTAAGCCACTAATGTATTAGTCCGTTTCTGTTGCTTATAACAAAGTACCTGAAAAAATAAAAAATAAATCTATAAATTTATAAAGAAAATGAAATTTATTGCTTATAGTTTCAGAGTCTGGGAAGTCCTAAGTCCAGGGAACACATTGGTTGAGAGTCTCCTGTAGTGGTGGCTGTACAGCAATGCAGGGATCTCACATGGCAGAAAATGGTGGAGCAGAGAGAAACTCTTATGTGCTCTCCTTTTAAAGCCCTCAGAACCACACCCATGACCACCATTTTTAATCCATTCACTATGGCATGGTCCTACAAACTAATCTCTTGAAGGCCACACCTTTCAATTACCATAATAGGATTTCTCACCCTTCCAACAGTCACAGTGGAGGCTGAGTTTCCAATACCTGGAACTTTAGGGGACACAATTTAATCTTCAATGAGTTTGGGGGTAGGACATTCAATCCATGGCAGTTAAACTAATTAGATTTGAGCTTTCTGTCATTTGCAGCTTAGACATAGTCTTGTATTGAAAGCACTGTTTTCTCATAGAGCACCTTAAGGTCACATTTTTCTCTTGCTTAGTAGTCACACAAGCTCCTTGTTTTTATCTCACCTCAGTTGCTTGGAGGTTGAGTGTCTAAATAGGTGGCTCTAATGCCCTAACGTTAATTTCATGCATACCACTTAATTGATGTTTTAAGTCATATCAGAACATAATTTTCAAACTTGATGGAAATGTACTCGGAGTTCTAGATTGTCTAGTAGATAACTTTCTATCTTTCTGAGGTAACTTCTGGATTCCCTACTCTATCTACATGAATTTATTTATTTTTGCCATGTCACCTATATTTTAAGTCAGTCCATTTTGGAATAACCAGTGTTTGATTCAGATATGCTAGAGACTTGGTTTTATTGAGCAATATTCCAGTACTTGTTAAGAGGGACAGAGTCCAGACCTAGAGACAGATTCTATAAAGCTGAAAGTCATCTCTGTGATTGATAGGTATGTTATTTTATAGAATGAAAAGTTACTTCTTTGTTTTAGTAACAAAGAGAAAATAGAAGTAGCTTTGAACGTTTTTTCTCCTTTTTTCCCCCAAAGAAGGGCTGTATTTGTCTGATGCAAGTGATATACTCGTAGGTATTGGGGTTAAGCAACTCTATTTTTCAGCCCCCACCCACATTCCAGCATGCCCAGTCCAAGCAGGAATAAAGCGTTCAGTATGAATGAGGCCTGTGACCCAATGCCTTCTGATTTCCACTATGTTGTACCCACTAAATTTGGTAAAATTTATTCATTGGTTTTCAAGAGATATAATAAAAACAGAATTTGTTATTTTGTTGATAATAAAAAGAAATGAGAAAGAATTGGTGTGTG